CCGATGGGGCTGTTCCCGTGCCCGGGAGCAATCTGGCTGTCTCGATTCTTCGGGGGGCGTCCTGGACGTTTTGGAGGGCCTGCAGTTTTAGGGTTCTTCTTGGAGAAGAGCACTGAGGTCCTCCTGCCAACTTCATGTGCTGGGGTGGAAGAAGAATTGGGACCCAGACCTGGAAGAGGGAGGAGAAGTCGTTGGCTGCAGCCCGGGGGACCTGGCAGGGACCGCACGGCAGCGGCATCAAGGAACAGCTTCATTTCTTGGGAACGTTATCTCAGAAGATCCTCCATCCTGAGCTTTGTCATACCTGCACCCTCAGGGTCAAACTATCCAGTCTGCTGACAGTAAAAGCTAGATGGGGACATCAAAGAACACTTCACCAGACAGGGATGCCCTCCTTTCTCCCAGGCAGCAACCCAGAAACAGAAGTCAAGAGCAGGCAAGCAGGAATAAACCTTTCCCACAACACACAGCAGCTGAGAAGCTCCACTGCACCCTTGAAAGACAAAGGCCCTAAACCACTCCCAGCTTGCAGAACGGCCTGCTTTTCCCGGTGCTTAGCAGGGCAGGACTGGGATGCAGAGGTGGCAAAACCCCAGTGACACCTGGCAGCTCTGCCTGGAGCTTTTGCTGTGCTCCCCACAGAGCCCAGCTCAGCATCTCCGTCCAGGAGGCCAGAGAGCTGGCAGCTGGCCCACGTTCAGCTCCCAGCCCCAGGAGGGCATCTGGAGCTCAGCACTCAGTGCTGCTGCAATGCCCTCCCGTGCCCCCAAGCAGGAAGGGACACTGAAGGCAGCCTGCTCCATAATGCCCGTAGAGAAACCGGGCAGCGTGGCAGAGCTGGCAGGAGGAAACAATCCATCTCACGCCCCACATCACACAGCTGGGACTCTCACGGCAAAGCACTCCGTCTCTGGAATGACATCCAGTTCCTCGGCCACATGGGAGGCAAGCTCACTGGGTGAACGCTGACCGCAGCTGCGAACACCAGTGCCCTGCCAACCCTCCCCAGAGGCAAACGCACACCAGGCTGCGGCTGTTCCAGACGCAATCCCCCCTGCCTGACTGGCACAGCTCACTACCAACTACCCAGCGGGGTACTGTCCTCGGACGGGCACGCTGGGAGGGAGCCCGGGCAGGCACAGATGTTGTACTCTGCACCCACCCCTACGGGAGGCACTATGGGAAACAAGGAACCTCCGCAGGGGAATGGGAGATAAGGGACCGCCCCACGAGAGGCCATCTGCCCTGCTCCTAAGGAGGAGCGAAGAGTGAGGTGTGTGCGGGGAGCTGCCCACACAGCCCTCCTCACAGGACGGCCTCTCCCCCAGCCAGCCTGTCCAGAGGTGGTTCTCCACCGCTCCCCAAAATCGGCAGTATTCTGGAGGGACCAGTACCTTTGCCAGTCTCCTGGCTGCTGCTCTCTTCTGCAGCACTGTCTGTCTGCAGATCCTTCTCACAGGGGTTGTGCGACTGCAGGACTCCTCTGGCAGAGGAGCCGTGCCGCTCCAGCCCATCTCGGCCCAAGTCCCGTGGGTGAGCGAGTTTCCGCCGTAGGACTGTGATCTCCTTCTTGATCATCTTGGCCCGGCGGGACCGTCCTATGCTCTGCTTGCCAGCATTGACCTCATCCAGCCGCTCCAGCAGGATCTTCAGCTGCTCCTCCAAGGGCAGGTGCTTCTGATTCTCCGAGAGCAGCAGCCGCACATCTTCTGGGGGAACAAAGAGGAGCAGATGGATGAAAGAAATCAGGAATTCTTTGGAGCCCCTCTACGTGAAAGGGCATGGGGCAATCCAGGTTCCCCGCAGGAGGGAAGTAGCTGACATGGTACCAAACACTTGTGAACTTGGGAAGTTACCCTAAAAGACCTGGAGAAGAAACCCTGTGGGAAGCAAGCCAGTTGGGACTGCTGGGGAAGGCAGGCTGATCAGCAGCTTGGAGAATACCAGGGTTCCCATTGGCTGGGGCAAGGACACAGCAGGAAAAAGAAAGGGGGTTGTAACAGGAAAACCAAGAACCAAAGGGATCCTGAAGCATTACAGAGCAGGGAAGTTCCCCTGCCTGAGCCCACCCCATGCTGGAGCAGGGAGAGGGGGACCCTGAAAGGATCCTTCTCTGACAAGCTGTTCCTGGCGGTGTTTCCCCATTGTCAGAGACAAGCAGATCTACAACCACTGAACCAGTGAGATCTGGTTGAGGGGTATCAGGAGCTGTGTGGCAGCCAGCAAAACTTGCAGCTGGGGGGAGAGGGGGGAGCACACAGCTCCGACCAGGGAAAGTCAGTCCTTCTAGCTGGGCGGCACGGCGGGAGCCTCAGCAGCTCACGGCCAGTGCTGGGGACGGGGCAAGTGACAGTACCCACGTCCCAGGCAGCCCCCTGCTTTGACCAAGAGGAGGACGAGGGACCAAGAGACTGGCAGGACACGCAGACAAGCCACTGCCTAGAATCAGCCTAATGGGGCCCATAGGTACCTGGCTAGCAAAGCTTCCACCTCTCCGGGGAGCAGTGACACACAGCCCAGGTGTCCGACTGAACCTCCCACGGGAGGCAGCTTGAACAGACCCCCAGGTGCCCTGACTCTTCCCAGGCTTTACCTCCGAGTAGCCCTCGTACCCAGGGACAGGGGATGAGTACCCACCGTCCTCGATATCTTGGACCTGAGCCTCTTCCACCGTTACACAGTGGGGGAAGTGCATGCCTGTCTCAAAGTCAATGCCCATCTTCTCTGCCTGCCGGCGAGCCTGCCGGAGAACGGCGCCTCCCTGCTCCCGCAGACGGATGGCTGCCCGGTAGAAGATTGTGTCTTTGGCATTGTATTTCAAACAGTTGTTGATAATCAGGTTGAAATCCTCCTCAAAGTCGTCGAAATTCAGATAGCGATAGGCTTCCAGGTTTTGTTTCATTGTCTGAAAATCCATCGGCTTCTTGATGTGATCCAGGTAGTCTGGGACCTGCATGAGGAAAGAGCCAGAGCTAAGAGCCTGGGAGCCATCAGTTAGCGTTACCTGCTCCAAGAAAACAGACATTAGAGGAATCAGGTATCGCTCCCTGTGTTCTGCCCAAAGGCACATCGGGGAATGCCGTCTGCTTTTGCAGCTTGAGGAACAGTAACGCCTCCGGACTAGGGAGCCCATGTGCTGTACTCAATATGTTAGAGCAGATACGCACTCTGAAGCATTTTTAAGGCTCCAGCGCACATGCCAGCATCCCGTCCTCTCCTCCTGTCTGTGGGCAGCTGGGATCCAAAACGCCACACGGCATTCCCCAAGGGAGGAAGCTGCAAGTACAGCCCCCGGGGGCGAGGGTGAGTGCAGACAGGTAAAACAGAACCATCCAGGCGGCAGCAATGGCCACAGGTGGGACCGCGCAGCCTTCCTCCCCAGCTCTGCTGAGACACCTCTGTGCTGACCTGCTGCCAGAGCCATGCAGAGCCAGCACGGCCTTTCCCCAGGCAGGGACTCGATGACAGTCTCAGGAATCATTTCCTTTGCCCCCCACAGTGACAGTCTGGGGGTCAAACCCGTTTCTGTGCTGTGCTCAGTCTGTCACCTAGCAGACACCTTCATGAGAGGACAGGTAAGAGCGTGCCGCCTGCCAAGGGCTGGCATTCTGCCTTTCCCAATGGGAATCCCCAACCGCTCACAGACACTGGGGAGTCACCAGCAACACACGCAGAAGAGCCGAGTACTATGCTCCCAGCCGGCACCAGCTCAGCTGTTCTGCATTCAGCTCACCCAGGAGGGGCATCGCTGCACACCCCCCTTGGGTGAGCGGTGCTGGGATGCGTAAGCCAGCACCAGGCTGCCCGGGGGAGCTTCCAGAGCAGAGGGCACCCTGGGCAGCCCTTGGCACGAGCAAGGGACAAGTTTGAGTGAAGTAGAAATCTGGGGAGGGGATTCTTACTTCGTAGATTTCTGTTACCTCAGACAGAGGGACCGGCTCGCTGAAGATGTTGCCCGTGTCTTTCTCCTGCAGCTGCTCAAGCGTCTTGCGGAGGAGGATGAGGAAGGGGGTCAGCTGCATTTCCAGTGCCACTTGCTGCACTTTGATCTGAAACAGAGGAAGAGAGCGGGGCTGAGCACCCTGCCCAGCAGCCAGGCAGCAGGGACAGTCCCCAGGGAGCAGCGGTGCAGTCCTGCAGGACAGCGACACCTCTCCTCGCATGAGGGGCAGGGACTGCACCTCACCCCCGTCTCTGGGGAGCGGAGGTGTAACACCGGCTCCAGCACCTGCGCGTCCCACCTCAGCCTTGCAGAGCAGCCACCTTTGCTCAGAGCTGCCGGGGCAGGGCGCAGCACGGCCGAGGGGACCCCAGCACACGCCCTACAGCGCTCTAAGGAGCCCATGCTCACGCTCACCCCAGCAGCTCCCCAAGGAGGGGCAAACAATCATTACCGTCTCTCTCTTGAGCTTCTCCCGCTTGCGTATCAGCTCCACCAGCAAGCGTGCACGCTCTAGGTCATGGCGGAGGCGCTGCCATGACTTCAGCTGCTCCTTCAGGGCCCAGTTCTTATCCTCAGTGTCTCTCTGTGGGAACATCAGAGACCATGAGCTCATAGGAGATGTGTTCCCATCTCCACCCTCCTGACCGTGTTCTAGGGCTCTTCCCTGGCAAAGGGAACCGGCATGCCTGACCTGCTGGTTCAGTGAAGGTCCTGGTTCCCGTATTGTAACCTAAGTGGGTGACTCAGAAACAGTCCGACTTCTGGCCAGAGCTGAATACCTGCTCCTGGTCACCAAGCCCTTAGGATGCCGGGAGATGTACGTCCCAAGCCCCTGGAAATATTCTTCCTAACATGACCGACTGCCTGCAGCTGCCCAAGAGCACAGATCAACAACAGGGTCTGTCCTGCTGCTCAGAGCTCCAGCAGGGCAACAGGGCAAAGAGGGAACACAGCTCTGGTTGCTTTCACTTCTGGAGCACCAAAAAATGCCGCCTTTTATTCTGCTGCGGCCAAAGATGAGCAGAAGCAGCCTCAACTCTTCTCCAGCAAATAAAAATGAAAGGGGGCAAAGGCAGGAGAAACCCCTGCCTAGTCACAGTCTTCAAAGGGCTCAGAAAGAAAGATTTAGAGCTCAGACAGGGAGCCAGAAGAAAAATCTTCCTCTCTGGCACCAGAGACTTCACATCTGTGAAGCACTGACTAAGGGCTGAGGCAGACAGTGGGCTGGAAGCAGTACCCACAGGGAGCACGCCTGGAGCAGTTTCAGAAACTGGAAGCGAGGGCTTGGTTCCTTCCAGACTGTTTCTGGAGATCTCTGGCCATCTCTCTCAACAATTGCTGACACAGCAGCCTCGAGACTAGAGCCATTTCTGACAGATTTGCCATTGCCACTGGCTAAACGCAGGCATGAGGAAGGAGCTAGCTTCTGTGCGGCAGCACGAAGGGCAGGATTCCCTTCCCGTGGCAGGCTGCCAACAGCTTCGCTGCCTGGCAAATCTCTGAACGCCGAGAGCGGAGGAGAAGGTGAAGCAGCAAAAGCAGCTGGGGCTGCCCTTTCCTCATCCGGGAGCTCATACCCCCTGGCACCGCATGCAGCAAAGGCTCTGAGCCCACAGCTCCGAAGGCACAGGAAGCACACGCACGCAGCCAGGATTCCCTGCAGCACCCCAACGAGCAGCCCTTACCTGGTCGCAGTTTCTTTGTGACTGCAAATGTGTCTGAAGGCGGCGGAGCAGAGGGACACCGTTGCGGGACTGTCTCTTCAGAGTCCAGTAGCTGTGCAGCCTCTGCATGAACTGGCTCTTCCTCTGGATGGTTAAACGGTTTGTAATCTTACTGAGCCTGAAGAAGGGAGAGGAACCACAAACCCCATCAAGAAGGCAAGCCTGGCTGCTGCAGGAGAAGCCCTGGCTGGGGGCACGTAGCAGCAAGGCCACCCGAGAGCTGCTGAGAAGCTCCTCGGGCAGAGAATACCCTTTCCCATGGCAGGAATTTCTGTAACACCAAGTCATGCAGGGCAGCCGCCCCCTCGAGTCAGCCGCAACAGAGGACGCCAGGAAACATCCAGCCTTGCCTCTCCAAAACAGACTCTTCCTTTTTACCTCCTGCCAACTTTTGGGCAAAAGCCTGGGGCAGGCTGCGCCAGGTCAGGGTACAACACAGCCACATCGGGGGCTGGACCTTTAACAGCTCCCACAGTCCCCGAGACTGCGAGCGTTACGGCGCTGCTATCCCAAAACTGTTTACCTGACTGAGGGCCACTCATGGTGACAAGGTCTCTGGCCAAACGTTACCAGATGAACTCAAGCCCCAGGAAGCCTGTAACTTGACCAAACGTGGCAAAGCGTGAGGAGGAAACAGGAGGCACGAGCACCACAGAGCTCCTATCCGAGCTAATGAAGGACTACCCTAAACAGTCCAAAACACCACAAAAGGCATTTTCCTACTCTACAACAGCAGAAAGCCTGGAGGGGCTGGGACAGCCTCATTCAGCAAAGCCAGACAGAGATAGCTGCTAGTGGGGAGCCGAAGGGACAAACCCCCAGCATCTCCACATCTCACAGGGACAGCTCTTCGCAGGGACTGACCCGAACTGCATCAGCCTCAGCTGAAGAGGCTGGGGAGAGCAGCCTCATGTGCCATCGCCGGCCAAGCACAGCTCTCACAGGAAGACATTTGGCATTCTGGCAACAGCCCTTGAAGAATAATTAATCCCAACAGGAAGGCCTGGGGAGAGGTTAACAGCTTCTAGCTCAGTGTGGGTTTTGCTGCGAGCGCAACGATAGCAGCAAGAGCCTACAAAGCGCCTGCCAACGTGTCCACACATAAGAAAAGAGGCTCCGGCTATAGAGCAAGCCCCGAGTGAGCAAAAACATAAGGTTAGGACACAAACAGACTGTGGCAAAAAGCCAGCAGCCTTGTAGCAGAGACCTGCCTCCACAAGTCACCAGAATGCTGCCCAGAGAGCAAAGCCCACAGCTTCTGCGTACTCCCCTCCGACTGCACAGGAGATAGTCTTGAGGGTCTGCAGGGAAGCAGCGGTCCCATGTCCCTGCACTGTCACAGCCGTGCTCGACGGGCCGGCAGGTGCGGCACCAGGGCGTCACAGGGTTACACCCCCGGCACAGCTCCTGCCGCGGGGAGGAGGAGAGCTCAGCAGCTCAGGGATGGTGGTACACAACCATGAAGGCAAACGCTTCCGTGCCAAACCTGCGCTTCAACTGTGCCACGCCTGCTGTAGGGTGACGGCAAGATCCAAAACCGTCCTAAGATGCTTCTACGAGCTTTTGCACGCTGCCAAGGATGCTCAGAGTTATAAACGACACTGACAAATTCTGGCAAGGCTCTTAGATGCTCTTGTTTCGGGATTTGCACACCAGCCCAATGATCAGACCAGAGACACACAGTGGTCGCACCTGTAACTACCCAGTGTTTGCGCCTTCCTGTGACCCTTTAGGGTCGGGATGCGACAGAAACACCACCCCTGCAAGGCCTCAAGTACCTTCCCTAAAGCACCTGCGCTGCCCTTGTGCTGTGAAGCCAGCCCCATGACAGTTGTGCCCCTCGGCAGGCAGGAGTTCCGGTCCTCTCCAGCCACCCCTTGCAGGCAGCTGTGCAGAGGCTCCTCCCCGCCGCCGCCCAGCCCCGCTCCGACAGGCCGCACCGCGGCAGAGCTGCTGCCTGCGACCAGCAGCATGAAAGACTGAGGAAGCCCAGCGAGGGGTAAGCGGTCACTGGGATGGATGAGCTGTGAGGATCCCCCCAGGAGCTGGACATGAGAGCTCTCCGCTCCAGAGCCAAAACAAGCCCTGGGTTAGCCCTTTTCCCAGACCTGAATTGCTCCCGTACTCCCCAGCTGGACCGTCCCTCTTTCCCCCGGCATGGCCCCGGGAGGAAATGAACCTCGGCAGAAAGGAGAGCAGCCCCCTCCTCCCTCCCCGGTTTATTCCAGCACCCGAGGTCAGCACAACAGGAAAGGAGCGCTGGGAACCCCCAGCTGCTTCCTGAGGCGTACGGCCAAGTTCGTTCTCTGCTGTTAAACTAACAGCAGCTATTTCCTGCCCCGCCGAGGGCCCAGACACCTTTGAGGGGTAGCGCATCGCTCTGCCTCTCTGCAGGACTCCAGAGGAAACTACCAACAGCCCTCTGCGAGAACAAAGCGAAAAGTACCTGTGCAAAAAGCTAGGGAGAGGAACAAGATAATGCCCGTGTGGAAAGCGGGACACGAGGCATGGAGAAAGGGAGAAATTTCTCCACAGCCAAGGGAGGGCAGCGGGTCGTACCTGTGCGGGGGGATGCAGGGCACAGAAACCACGGGTGCTGCGGCTCGTTTCTCCGCCAGGATCTTCCGCGCCTTCTTCATCTTGATCCTAGACTTGGCCTTTGCTTTTTTGACTTTCTCGGAGCTCCAGCCCTTCCCCTCCTCCTCCTCCTCCTCGTCCTCCTCTTCCCCCTCGCTGTGGGAGAGGGCGGGAAGCCTGCGCACAGAGCCCGGCGGCGTGTGGATGTCGCAGTAGGCGGTTTTGCGCACGCTGAAGGAGGTACCGTTGGCCCCCGTCTCCCGGACAGGCTCCATTTTCATGTACAGCCCGGCCTGCTGGGCGCAGGTGACGTGGAAGGCGGTGTAGCAGTTGGCTTTGTGACACTGGATGCAAGCCCCGGAGCCACGCTGCTTGCAAATGTAACAGGTCAGCTTCCAGCGCGCGGGCGGGATGTGCTCGATGCTGTCGATGGGCTCCAGGAAGACGGTGTTGGCAAAGCACACCTCTGGGATCCAGAGGGCACAGACCACGTGTGCCCAGCGCCCATCGTCCGTCTGCTTGAAGGCCCCCCCCTTGTTTGGGCAGAGGGCGCAGTCCACGGCTCGCGAGGGTGACTGCAGGCACCGTCTGCAGAGCCACTGTCCCTCCGGGATGTAGGGCACCCCGTAGCACTCCTGATGCACAGCCAGGTTGCACATGTCGCAGAAGAGGATGACGTTGCTGTTCTGACACTCGCCGTCGTTGCAGATGCAACAGACAGCATCCTCATCCACCAAGGCGTTTGGATCCCCCTTGTTGTGGCTCTCGAAGTAGGACTCCTTCTCCAGCCGGTCCATCAGGTACTCAAAGATCTCCTGGGGAATGGGACTCACGCCTTCGGTCTTCCGCCGCTCATTCATAATGTCCAGCCAGATGTAATCTTCCTCGTCCATGTCGTACTCCACCTCCTCATCCAGCTCCTCTGCTGACTTCTCGATGTACCTGGAAGGACAGCACGGGAGGGTGAGGGCACGGCCGGCAGGGTCTCAGAG